AGGAGAGGCTTGGACCTCTTTGTAATCTCTCTCTCTCTCTCTCTCTCTCTCTCTCTCTCTCTCTCTCTCTCTCTCTCTCTCTCGTGTGTGCGCGTGTGCGTGCGTGTGTGTGTGTGTGTGTGTGTGTGTGTGTGTGTGTGTCTGTCTGTCTGTCCATCCGTCCGTCTGTCTGTCTGTGTGTCTTCCATTAGGTAGGCAGGAAAGGCTGCTGGGCCGGCATATGACCTAAAGGGATAGATGGTGGTGTGGAAGCCTAGTGGGTTGAGATCTCTCTGGAGGGGGCATCTCACATCACTTCTGGCAGGTACCTCTGTGCACTCCTACCCCAGAGCAGCCTCTCACCATCATCTGAAAATAGTGGAGTGATGTTAACCCCCTTTGGGGCGTCTGAGGCATTAGTTCTGATGGCTTCTGCCCTAACCTTAAGTAATGGTGGTGGAATATTATGGCTCCCACCAATGATCAGGAGATCAAGGGTGTGGGAGCCACCCTGGGGACTCCCCAGATAGTTTATTCCGAGGAGGGGGTCTTTTGTGATCTCAGCCCCCAAACCTGCCTCTGCTGCACGTCTGTACGTGCAGTGGGGCCTCCAGAAATCCCACCCGGTGCATTCATCCCACATGCCCTCCTCCCATAACAGCAGGGACCAGAGAATTCAGCCCTCAAAACCCCAGAAGCGCCTTGGATTCTCAGTAAGTTCCAAGCATAATGGCATTAGGGAGTCACAATGCCTGACCTAAAGTCCCCACAGATGGACCTGCTGCCCTGGAGGAGGCCAAGGTGGGATAGGGAGCAGCTAAGGTCACTGAGATGTCAGGACCAGCCCTGCCCTGGGCTTGTCCATGCCATTGTGGTCAGGAGAACCCGAGTGGCAAAGAAAGGACAGGGAGGTCTGCAGGTAAGGGAGGTAGGTTCCTGCTTCCTGGATGCCCAGGAATCGCCTTGCCAAGCCCAGGAGCCAAGGATCCACTCTTCAGGACCACGACTGTACCACACACACAGCCCCCCTTTCGTGCAGCCCCCCCCCTTGCTCTGAGACTTCTCACAGCTGACATATGCCTCTGTATTAGTACATTCCAATACAGTCAGGCCTCAGCAGAAATAGGAGATGAGACCCAAAATCTGTTTGTGGGCACTGAAAAATATTTACTAGAACAGGGAGGGTTCTTTAGAAGAATCTCTCCGCACCCATCCCAACCAACTCCTCAAAGAAGAGCAAAAGATGAAGAAGCTAGAGATGGGTGCCCTCTCCGGGGGGCCTTCTGCCTTCTCCAAAGAGGTGCATGAAGGGGGTGGTTTAGGCACCAGACTGTAGCCCCAGAGCAGGGCTGGCCCAGGTGCAATGAGAGGGACCCACACCCAGCCATCCCTAACCAAGCTGCATGCAGGCAGAGGGGCAACACACACAGGGCATCTGTACACACACACCTGCGGGCTCCTAAACCGCCCATGCTCCTGCAGGAACATGCAAGCACATGCATGCACACATGAGCACACGTTGCTGAGCACAGCCCCTAAGAGGCGCACACGCCTCCGCGCAGTGCCTCCCGGAGATGCGCTCTCAGTAGCGGTGTTTCTAGCCAAAGGTTGTGGCGAGGGTATCCCGGCCAAGGCAACTTGGGCAAACCCTGGGGGCGGCACCCGCTGCACACTCTGGTCAACCTCCCCTTGAAAAAAAAAAAAAACCCGCCCGCGGAGGAGGCGGATGTAGGGGCGGCCTGTCCAATGGCAGCTGCGCGCTTCGGGAGACTTGGAGACTTGAGCCAGAGTGAGCGACAGAGCCCGTTCGCACCGACAGACGGACAGAGGGCCAGACAGCCGCTAAGGCGTGCCCACTGTCCCCCGCCGGGCCCCCGCCCCGAACTCCAGCCCCAGCGCCCGCTGCTGCCCCAGATACAGCACGATGTGCGGTCCTGGCGTCGAGACACGGGCGACCACTGTCCCCCGCCCCCCGAGCCCTGGCCCCTAGCGCCCAGCGCTGCTGCCCTGCATCAGGGAGGGCCGCGGAGACCCCAGCCTCGGTTGGCGCAGAAGCCCTGCGGGTGGGGCCTGTCCAGCCCAGCCAGGCGCGCCGGCCCATCATGCTCCTCTTGTCGCCGCGCAGCGCGCTGGTCTCCGTCTATTGCCCGCAGATCTTTCTCCTTCTGTCCAGCGGCAGCTACCTGTGAGTGCCGCGGATGGCGGGTGGGGTGGGCGAGAGGGTAGCCTCTAGCCACTACTGCAGTAGGATGGAGGGCGGGGGAGGTGGCAAGAGGGTCCCGGGGTGCGGCGCTGGGTGCCCTGCGTACACAGAAGCTGGGGACCTTTGGGCCACTTTGCTGGCCTCAGCCGCCGATGTAGAACACCTGGGGGGCAGCTGTGGCAATGAGAAATTTTAGCTTTGGAGTCAGAGAAAAGTTGGCTCTGGAGAGGTCGGACAGCTCTTGCAGATTAGGCTGTGTGCACCAAGCGCAAGGGTCGGAGCTAACCAGTGGGCGTGAAGATTTCCTTCGCGTCCCAGCAGGATCCTGGATCAGCGGAAGACCTTCTCCCTAGGCCATATTAACCCATGCGGCGTGCCATACTAAGGAGAGCTACACGCACACGTCTGCTTTCCCAGCACACACACTGGCAGACACGTGCATGCTGCGCCCCACCAGATAGCGCGCCGAGGTTGTTCCCCGAAGTCTCTGGTCACTCGCGCCATCCTGCCGCGCCTGGAGGCCTTGACCCCTGTTCTGCTAGATGCCTCTCCTGGAGGTGAGGAGGGCGCGCACTGTGCGCGCTCAGGCTGCGGAGCTCCCAGGTATCAAGGCCCAGGGAGGGCGCAGAGCAGGGCGCACGAGCGAGGGGTTGGGCAGCGCCCACCAGGCTATGGGAAGCTCGGGGCAGGGCCCAAGGCGGCCCTGCGAGCCGAGGGGGCGCGTCCTCACAGCGGTGGCTTCGCCCGATTCCTAATGGGACGCATATGCTCTGGCCTCCGATTTAAAAAGAAGTTTGATTTATGGAACCGCCGTTTGGGGGAATTGAAGCTGGATGCTACTGATTAAACCTCAGAGCCAGCGCTCCCTCTCCCTCTCCTCCCCTCCCCCGCCCCCTCCTTAACACGCGGGCCACGTCCGGGGTCGCCTAACGCGGCCAGAGGCGGCAGCCGCCTTCCCGCTCCCTGCACCACCCCCTCCCCGCCCCGCGGCCACAGTCCTGATAAATTGCCCCGCCCCCACCCCTTTTAATAAAGACGCGGCCAATTTCTCCTCCAGCTCCTAGGAAATTACTATCCTACCAGTTTTCCTTCTATAAATAGTCGCGCATCTTGAAACAAAAGTTCGCAACCGCAGCCAGATGCTGCGAGGCCCGCGGTTTCCCCGGCTGTGGAACATAATTACAAGGTCCGGGCAGAGGGAGCGCTCCAAGCCCGGCGGCAGCCCTGGCTGCGGAGGCATCGCCTGGGGTGGGGAGGAGCAGGCCTCCCGGGGCAGGGCGCTGGGCCCGTAGGCACCGCCTGATCAGTGGGGACCTGGCCAAAAGAATCCTGCTTCTGATGTCCTTCCTTGAAATGGATCAGCCAAGGACTCCAAGGCTCCTGCTTCTGGGGCTCCTGAGACCTCCCCTTCCCCAGATCCTGGCCATCCCAGTCTTAAGCCTTGCTGAAGAGCCTGCAGTTAACTCTGAGAGATCATTTGGGGAAGCTAGCAGCTGAGGTTTGGTGTTCCTGGGGAGGTGTCCAGGGGTGGAAGCCAGGAGCTGGGTCTGAGAGGAGAGGATGGTAAGAGCCATTGGCTGCACAGCAATTGCAGGGCTCTTTGGCAGATGGTAGCCAGTGTACCTTTGAGGCCCCCAGCTTTCTCCTGGAGGGCCCACTCCAGCTTTGTGGTGACCTCCACCATCTGTACCCACATAGGTTTGTCCCTGACTGGGGGGTGCCAGCTCTGGGGGGCTGAAATTCTTTCAAGGGAACAGCTTTTCAAATGTGTCCAGGCCAGAGCTGGGGCCAGCATGAGTGGTGGTAGCTGGGGGTGAGGTGGGGGGGGGCAGGATGGGGGGTGGTAAGGCAGACCAGGTCCCTTCCTCATCACTAGTACTGCCTGGTGTTCAGCTATGAAAGATGGGGAGAAAGCGCTGGTTCGGCCCTTCATAAGCCTTGTTCCTGGGAAAGAGAAAGAGAGGGCCCACGATTGTGATGCTGAGCCTTCCTCACCTTGCTGGGTATCACAGGGTTGCCTGCCTAAGATGCCTGGGAGGGAACAGGCCTCTACAATTAGAATGAAAGCATGGTGCGTTAGCCCACCACGGTTCAGGCACCCCTGTGGCAGAACTTGGTTAGATGGTCAGTGCAGAATAACTCTGGTAACGGGAAGGTGGTAGGGGTCAGTGTGAGACACCCCCCCTCCCTAGCACTACAGGAATGTCCCAGAGGATGCCACAGCGAGGAGGGGCCCTGAGTGGAGGCTGTGTTCTGTTCCAGAGAACTTTCCAGAAGGCATCCCATTGCTGGGGTCACAGACACCGGCCAACAGTTGATCCTGCCCCTTTCAACTGGGCTGTTCTCCCAGCTCCCCATGCTGGGCTATCATCCGAACACAGTGAATCCCAGACACATGCCTGGGCCCCTACTGCTGATCATGTTGGACGGGTGTGCTGGCCTGGAAGGGCCCTGAGCTCCCATCAGACTCCAAGGGTGACCCAGCTGGGACAGCAGCTCTGACCACCTCTACCCGTGTTGGAGAGTGGGGGCCAAGTAGGGAAACCACAAGGGACCAAGGGAAGGCAAATGGGAGGTGAGGCCACAAGCAGGGTCTGGAGTGCTGGGTCAGCTGGTGTCAGGGCCAGGCCCCAGCCTGGAGCCAGAACCAGCCTGGGCTACTGTAAGGGCAGGTCCCTTCCGTTCTTGGCCTCCCTGTCCTAGATGTGGTAGTTGTCTGTGATGATCCCCCCCCCCCATGTCTTCCGGTATAGCCTGTCATGGTAACCGCCTGCTCTGGGGAGCCGAGTGAGTCATGGGTGACAGGATGGTTACTCACCGACCACCTGGCTTGGGGGTGCAGAGGGTGCTCACCACTGTCCTCCCCAGGCCCCGTCAGGCCTCTTCCTGGCTCCTGTTGTGGCTTTGCTGGTGGTGCTGACCACAGTCCTAAAAGCCCTGTGGGCATGACCCTTGGTGAGATGGGCGCTGAATCAGGCTGCTCCTGTGGCATCACAGTCGGGGGGGGGGGGACAGTGTGGGTCATAGGACTCCAACATGGACAGGTCACCTAGAGGGTGATGTCTGTCTGGGCTCAGGTCTCCTCACCGGTCACAGGGGAAAGAAGTCTCAGGTCAGACCCAGTTGTCTCTGGGTTTGAAAGCATATGACACCCCATAGACTATTGGCACAACAAGGTAAGAGCTGGAACACCCGAGGGCAAGCGTAACTCCCAGGAAACCTGCCAGCTGGAGCCCCCGGAACCACAGAAAACTACCCCAAACCCACTGTGGTATGGTAAGACGCAGCAGCTGAGAGGGGAGTGAGGTATAGGCTGGGGTGGACTTTTCCCAGCCCCTGTGTGTGCAGAGGGCTTTGCCTCTTTGGGCTTTGGCCGTGGGGAAAGCTGGAGCATGGGACCCTTTCTAACCTGGTTTCCTTGGAGTCCTGGAGACCATGAGGCATGCCAAATCTGGATTTTCATCCCAGTGCTACCTCTTCCTGCCTGGCTGTATCCTGTTCCTAGCTAACGCCTCTGCTCAGGGAGACTCTGTGGAGGTCACGACAACCTCACAGGGCAGCCTGGAGCACTCAGAGAAGATTCAGGGCCTGTGTTCAGTGCAGATCCTGATGTAAGGGATAGTTCAGGATAGTTCAGGGTGGCTCTTGGGTAGCAGGAAGCGGGTGGGATTGGCCTCTAGTGACACCGAGGGAGTCGTAGAGGGAACAGTCGCTCAGGAGGGAATGGTGTGCTCTTTGGGTGTATTGGAGGGCATTCTGCAGGTGGATCTAAACAGGATTTTTAAAGATTGAAGTGTTTTGGCCAAACTAAGGAAGGTCCCAGTAGAGACTCCTGAATGAGAGAACATGGCTGTCAAACACATCCTCCCATGGGTCCCCATGGAGATGGAGAGGCAGACCCAGCACTGGTGTCCTGAGAGATGAGGTCCCCCAGACCCCGGGTCATCATCTTGCCCTCCTGGCTCTAGCCCCCACATGGCTGGCTCTCCCTGCAGTGATCCATCCCAGAAGGGGGAGGGGGCACAGCCAGCTGTCACCAGTGCGGTGAGGCAGGTGATTACCACGAAGGGAGATGTCTAGAAATGATGCTTCCTGCCTCTGCCGCTCTACCCTCGAACTCTCCTGCAGAGCCTCCAAGCCTCAGGCTGGCCTGGAGGGGCACGTGGACCAGGGTTATGTTGCTGCAGGTATCCTGGTGGACATGGATGCCCTGCTGGGGTTTGAGCCAGTGTTCTGAGCAAGGGAGTGGCAGAGGGGCTGGGATGGATACTGGTATTTTAGACCCAGGCTGTCTGTCCGCAGAGGGTCAGGGGGAAGTGCCCAGAGCAGGGCCCCTCTGTGCAGCCCATAGCCAGCCCACTAACCTCTCCATCTCCCAGGCAGGTGGGACAGCTTCAGCAGGCTCCCTGGAGGCCTCCATTTTGCACAGTCCTGAGTCCGGCTGGGATAGGGCTCAGCTCCCCTCCCAAGGGGACAAGAGGCTGGCGCCCTCCCTTGTCAGATGAAACCCCGGCCCAGGGCTCCCTCAGCCTGATGAAAGGGTCATTGTGTAGTACAGGCCGCCCGCTGGCCAAGGACAAAACGGCCGTTTGTCCTCTCTCCTTGGTGTGGGGCTGGGGGCCTCCCCTCAGGCTGGCCGATGGGTGGGGGTGGGTACAGGTGCACTCCAGGCTCCCTCTCTTTCCTTGTCTTCTAGCTCAGTCTGCCCCTCCCCCCAGCCCCCTACCCACCTAGAGTCACCTTGCCCTTGAGTATGGATCCCCAGGCTTGGGCCAGCCTTGGTGCTGTCTGGGAGACAGCTTCCTGGTCCTGGAGGCATCCAAGTAGGTGTAAGCATGATACCAGGGAATCCAGTGCTCTGGGCCCACAGTGTAAGCAGTTAGGTGTGTGGCTAAATGACCGCGCCAGTGCAGATATGCTGCAACCATGCTTGAGACTGGGAGTAGGAGATGCCGGAGTGCCGTGGCCCCTGCGTGGCCATGGTAGCTATCTTAGGTTTGATGTGGCTGTGATAAACACCATCACCAAAAGCAACTTGGGGAGGAAAGGGTTTATTTGGCTTACATATCCCAGATCCATCTATTGAGGAAAACCATTGAGGCAAGAACCGTCCTCAGGAACTGAAGCAGAAGCCGTGGAAGAGTACTGCTTACTGACTTGCTCCTCGTGGCTTGCTCAGCCTGCTTTCTTACAATACCTAAGACCACTCCCTGTGGGATAGACTCTCCCTTATCAATCCTTAATCAAGGTACTACCTCACAGACTTGCCTACAGGTCAGTTGTATGGAGGCATTTCTCAGTAAAGATTTCCTTTTCTTGGATGACCCTAGCCTGTATCAAGTCGATATAAAAACTAGCCAGTACTACAGCTATAGGTTGTGAAGCCTTCCAAGGGCTGGAGCGGGGCTGGGAACCACGGTGATCACCCAGGCATGCACATAGCACATAGGTGGAAGAAAAGCCAGAATCCCTGGGAGTCCTATCAGATGATACTTGAGGGCCTCCATCACCGTCCAGAACCCTCTTCCATTGGGCTTCCTGATCTCTCTGTGCTCAGAAGGCCGCCAGCAAACCCAGGTGAAGCTGCTACATGTGGCCTGGTCCCTGGAAGGGGGAGGACAGGTGGGACTCCAGATCCCTCCCAGTAGCAGGCCATTGGGGGTAAACCAGATTTTAAAAGTCCTTTTGGGGTTGCACACCTGTTATCCTGGCACACAAGGCTGAGGCAGGAGGATCATGAGTTTAAAGCCAGCCTGGGTTTCATACCGAGGCCTGTCTCAAACAATAGTCTTCAGAATGAGAATGGACCAGCTGTCTTGTGGACTCCAGACTGGGAACCCAAGCCCCAGGGTTCACATTTCCAGAAGGACCTGTCCTGTGGGCCTGGCATGCACAGCCTGTCTGGAGTCTGCTCTTGCGTCTCGGTGCTCCCTGGCTGCTGGCACAGGGCTAAACCAAGCCACCTCCGGCATTGGAATGTGAGGGTGGGGCGGGTGATCAGGGCCAGGTGTGTCTCAGGTCCGGGCATCTGAGGCTGGATTTGAACCCAGGTTTGTATGACTCTGAGGTCCATGCTGCCTCTAGCATCTGACCAACACTGTTGCCTCTCACATTCATTACATTTTATAAGTAATGGATTTTATATAGGGTGAAGAATCCAACTAGAGCAGTTGGTTGCAAGATTTGGGGACCAGGAGTCCTTGGTCCCGGAGCAAAGCCCCCCCTCAACAACTTGGGGGGCTAGCTTTTGCTTGAGTCCTGGGGACAGAGATGCGATGCTCCTGGGGGATGTGGAGATGTCCCTGCTTGTCTTGGCTCTGCTCCAGCAAATCTGAGGCCAGCTTTAACAGGAAGAAAAGTAGGTCCAGCAAGCCAGCCTGGGACCTGTGTGTCGGTTCAGTATGTGCTTGATGATACGCTCTCAGATGTGGCTGGGCCTGGTTTTGGGGTACCCTTGGCTTCTCTAGATCTTGGTTTCCCGTCTGAGGGAGGTTCTAGAGCCGCCCTCTAGCTAGCCCCGCCCATTCAGTTGACTTTTCACACCCCCTTAATTTATCTCAGCCCTCCAGTCCACCTTCCTCTGAGTTCACACAGAGCCCTACAGCAGGGGCCCTGACTACCTGCAGTAGGGGTGAACCAGGAAAGACTTCCAGTGTAGGGTGACCTGAGAGGCATCAGAAGTCATCCCTACCAGCCTGGGGGACACAGGTTGAAGCAGGAACTGAGGGCTGGCTGAACACCTTCCGGGAGGGGACTCCGGTCTTCTGGGGGTGACTTCACCTCTGGCAGGGAGTGCGGGGACTTTCCAAGTGCTGCTGACCACCCCCCCCTCCCCGGAAACAGACTTGCCACCTTGCCTCATGGTATCTCCATCATCTCTGTTTTCCCGGGACATGCTGTGTCCCTATAGACTGGGTTGGCTGGTAGGGGAGGGATGAATTTAAGCCACCATATATGCTGCTGTGGGCCAAAGTGCTGGTGTGGCCTTCCTGTGGACCAAACAGGGCTGGTATTCCCTTCGGTGGCCCTGCCACAGGGTAGAACACCAGATTAAGCACGCCAGCCTCCCAGAGTGACCTTCTGATGGGCTGGGCTGAGATACATCATGGCCTAAGACTGAAGTGGGAGAGCCTGGAGTTGGTGGTGTGGTAAGGTGGTGTGGAGAGAGCATTAGCCAGGGCCTGACAGTTCTAGCTTCTCTTTACCTTGCCAGAGTTCTGGGACAGAGATTCGTGGCGCGAGGGACCTCAGGGACACAGCCTTCAAGATGGCCAGGGAGAAAAGTGCTTAGACTTTTATCCTATCCTCCTGCAGCGGGAGCGGGCGGTCTTAGGGCTGGACAGCTTCCCTTCAGGCTGTGGAACCTGTGGTGGGGGGCTCCTGGCCCTGCCTGAGGTTCTGTGCTGCTTCCTAGTGTCTTTGCAGTAGAGTCCGTGGTAATGAGTCCGCCCGAGGGAAGTCCTCCTTTTGTGTGATTGATAGCCCTGCCGCCTATGAAGCAGCATAGGTTGAGAGGCCGGTGTTACCCTTTGGCAGCTTGCAGGTCTGTGTTTCTTTCTGGACCCCTCACAGAGCAGCGCAGGGGTGGGGTGTACAGGCAGGTCTACAAGCCCAGAACTGAGCCCCATCTTCCCCTGTGACTGTCAAGGTGGGGATTCCCGTAGCCGGAAGTAACGGGTTCGCCATAGTTTCAGAGGGAGGGTATCAAGGAGGCAGAGGCAACGACTTGGCTTTATCTGTGCCAAGCTGCTCTTCAGCCTTGGACAAAAGACTGCCCTTTTTTGAGCCTCCTCTGGAAAATGGGAATAATGAACTCCTAGCCAGGCTGGCCACTAGGATTGAGTGGCTCCTTTCCCAGGGCGTTCGATTTTGGAGGCAATTGGCTGGGGAGGCCATTCAGGTCATGGAGAAAGCCATAAGGTGAGGGACCAGGGAGCAGTGGCCAGGGGGCTTCTGACTCAGACAGGTCCCCAGCTGTGATGACAGCAGATAGCAGGGATGGGTCTGGTCCCTGGCTGAGGCTCACACTGCCCCGGGTGCTGTGTGGCTTGCGGGCCCTGTCCTCTCTAGGCTCTGTCTCCCACCTTACACTAGCTCAGCTCTGCCTTGAGGTCTGTAGACAGATGGTGACTCGCTATCCTCTGTGTGTGGGACTTGGTCCCCAAACTTAAAACTCAGAATATGCTCAGAGTGTCCCAGGAAGTGCTGGCTCAGCCATCCAGTGTTTAGACTCCCAAATTGGCAGTAGGCCAGTGGGGCCCTGCCAGCTCCCTCCCACCTTTTACACCCACCTGTCCATCTGTTGCTGGGTCTCAGGTTGGCGTCTTGGCCAGCCATGCCTTCAGGGCACCCCATATCACATAGGTTGTGTAGTAAGTGCCGTGCTGGGCTGATGGGGGGTCTCAGCTCCAGCTGAGCTTCAGCCAGCCTCACAGCCTCAGGGGCCCTGGCATCTCTGGATGTGGCGATCTCCACCTGTACTGTGGGAAGCAAAGAGAAAAGCCAGGGGTAAGGACAGAGAGAAGCCACTTCAGCCCCTGTGCCAGGCTTGGCACACATTGGCCCTGCCAGCAGTGAGAATGAAGCAGGGTCAGGCAGGCTTCCTGGAGGTGGGGGCAGTGAGCTGGATATGAAGCCCTGTTTGACGGTCAGAGGGGCAGGGTGCCCTTCCCAGGGCAAAGACTTGATCCATTAGGTTACTGTGGGCCTTGTGTGCCAGGAGAGGTCCTGAAATGTCTGAAGTTGCAGGCCATTGGAATTAAAATGACCCCTGTAAGGGCTCCGTGAATCCATCAGCCCCCCTGGACCCCTGTGCCCATGCCTGGATGTGCCACTCTGAGGCTGTGGCTTTCCCATCTCCAGCAGCCCCAGCCTACCCAGGCCTCCTGCTCACCGCCTGCTTTCTCCCAGACTGCCTTCTTTCTCTCCAGGGTGGGGTCCCAGGAAGCCTGGATGGAATGCCAGCTATGTGGAAGGGTGGGAAAGCCTTTAGCAGAATCTCTCCTTTCTTGCCTGGGAACACCAGGAGCAGCTGAGGGGAGCAGTGGTCCGGAAAGATGGGGAGCAAGTGGGGCCCATGCTGGAGGGGAAGGGCTGCCTACAGCAGGCCCCAACCATGGCAGAGTGTACACCCTCCTGACAGATGGGTAGACTGAGGCCCAGCTTGGTCAGAAAGATTGCACAGGACTGGAGCCTAGTCCCCACAGCCACAGAGGCCCTCTTTAGGATCTAGCCTCAGGTATCCTGACTTTCACCTCAGCCCTTTGATAGTCAAATGGGAAACCGAGGCCCAGGCAGGTTAGGGAAGGGGCTTTGGGGTGGCTGAATTCCTAGGCAGAGCTCTAGAGGAACCTGCCCTCAGCCATTTCCAGTCCCTGGCTACCTCAGGGCCCTTCTAGCTTTATTTCGGTCTATTTCCCCCCCCCCCCCCCCTGTGAGTTTGGGCTTCAAGGCTCACCACGAGGAGCGACCGTGAGGATGGCTAGAACAGCGAGGGAACCGAACTGGGTGGGTGCCTCTTTCGGCTTTCTGTCTATGGAGGCAGGCTCTGTGTCAGGGCATTCTAAAGGGCCAGTTGGATGGCCAGGCTAGACCTGCCCTCTGACGCTCCCTCCAGGGCCTCACCTGGGTCCAGGTACTTTCCTTTTGAGGTGGTGCACACCTGCACCCCCAGAACTTTGAGGTCTAAGCAGGAGGATCAGAAGTTCATTATCGTCCTTGTCTACTTAGTGGTTTTGAGATTAGCCTGGGCTACCCGAGACCCTGAAAGAGAGAGATGGGGAGGGACGCAGGGGGAGAAACCGAACACAGCTCTAGAGCTGCACGCTCTGCCCGTGTTTCTGAGCTGGGCTTACCAGCAGAGGGAAGGCTGAAAGGAGGACCAGAGGGAGGACGGAGGACTGGAGGGAAGACAGGGGGCCTGAAGGCAGTGACCTTGGCACCTGCTGGGTTCTGTTCTTTAGAACAGAACCCTGACCAGTTCTGTTCTAAAGACCTGCCAAGGGGACCTGCTGTGCTCAGTTCTGGCCTGGGTCAGCTCTCTTTGGTCAGTCTTATCTAATTCAGCGTGTAGCTAATGTCTGTGTGTCAGGGGGACTCTGATCTGGGGGCTGAGGCTAGTCTACACTAGGGAGACATTCCTGTCCCCACTTACCTGGCAGGAACATTGAGGTTCTTCTAGCCCTGTCTCCCAACCAGTACCCCCCACCCCCCACTGCCCGAGTACCCCTCTGTGCTTCAGAGTCTGGAAAGAGCCCTTGGGCCCCTCACTGGCTGGAAAAGCCCCGGACACACCTGCCCACCCGAGGGAGAGCTCAGCGCCACCCTCCAGGGGATTTGCTGAGTTACTTCCTGGATGAGTGGACCCAGGCCCGCCTTCCTGGCCGATCATAGATAATTAGAACATTCTTCAAATATTTTGCCGGAGGATGCCCAAGAAGGAAGAATTACAAAGTGCCCTGGGCCAGGAGCGTGGGCTGGAGTTGCTGAGCAGCTGGGCAGCTGGGCAGCTGGCTGGGCCAAGTCTGGGGGGGCCCAGAGGGAAGCTAGACCAGCCTGTCCCTACCTTCCAGAGTTAGGACTGGAGCAGGAAAACATGAGGAGTGGGTGTTTTCAAACCCAGGGCCCTTTTGGGACCAGTCAGTTACCTGGCAGAGATGGGGAATACGTGCCCTAGGGCCTCAGCAGCAGGCAAGGGGCAGAGCCTGCTGCAAATGGCCTTTGGACAGGACTTAGGGTCACACACTGAGTCCAGGGATCCCAAGGGAGCTGGAGATGCGATGCCTAGGAGGAGGTGTGTCCGCGGTGGGAGGGCAGGTCTGAAAGCGGAGCAGCGGGGAGAAGAGAGAGGCCTGATACTGGCACCACAGGGTAGGGAGGATGGAGGGAAGACGGCTGTTCAAGAGGCTGTGTCTGAGGTTGGGAGGGCTGGGCCAGGTCCTGAGATGGAGCAGGTTGCATGCAGTGCAGACAGGGCCCCGGGCTAGGCCGGGAGCTGGAGCAGGTGAGACTGGTGGGACAGGAGGGCTAAGGGGCCTGTGCTGGGGGAGTTCTTAAGAGGCACCTGCTTCTCAGAGAGGAGTGCCAGGTCCCTGAGAGTCTCCGGGCCAACGTGGGCTCAGTTCCGGTTCTAAACAGTCTTTTGGATCCTGTGCTAGTCTTTACATTCCATGACTTCCCTCCTGTGTGTTTGTCCCAGCCCAGCAGCCTGGGGGCAGCCTGGTCCCGTGTGGAAAAGGCTCGGGCCGGAGAGAAGAGCCCTGCAGAGGTCACTGCTATTATGGGTATTTGCTATTATTTGCTCTTGTGGGTAGAGATTTAAAGGGAATACTGGGGTGGAGAAGCCCGGCTCTGTGGCCACCTTAGGACACACCCGTGGATTTTGAAGGTGGCCAGAAGCTTCCTCTGGGTGGGAGAGACTGTTCCATTGGTCATCTCTGCAGCTAGCCATGACACCATTTCTCTCTGGCCATTTCAGTGGAAAGGGACAAGGCAAATGACATGGTTTTCACTGACCTGTCACCCAGGATGAAGAGAGGGAACCCCACGACTCCCCTATAGCCATCAACTGCCCCGCCGCACTGAGGGTGCCCCACATTTCACTCAGCTTGGCATGTGAGCCACGAGCCAGGTCACTGTCCTGTGAGGGGCCTCTGCTGTGTGTCAGTGCCTCTGAGATGCTCGACTGGAGGCCTTCATCCCCTCACAGATCCTTCATTCGTTCATGCACTGAGGCGCGGGGGCAGTGGGCTGCATTCCTCGCTCCTTGCCTTCCTGCCAGCTCAGGAAGCCAAACCTCTCTGGGCCTCTGGGGGAGAAGAATAACAATTTGTATCCTACTTGACCCCTGATGTTTTTATAGAGGGACATTAAGTGGACCTGGAGCTCAGTCTAGCACACAGTAGGTGGGCCTTTTCTGAGTCAAGCACTTTAAAACTCTAGCAGCATGAAGGATTTAGAATAGATTCCTGCTCCGCCCCCTGCCGGGGGGGGGGGGGGGGGACAGCAGGCTTTGGAGGGCCTCCTTCCTGAAGGAAGTATAAGTGTCCTTTACACCAAGTAAGAACAAGATTACCTCAGTCCTGATCCTAGGGAGCACCCTCCCCGCTCCCAGCCTTTTAATGTGAGCTGGTGCTCTCCAAGGATGTTGGAGAGGGGGGCCTACTTGGAGGAGACCCCAGGGTGAGGCCTGGCCTGAAGAAGGGGTCTGCCCCCTATGCATGGCCACAGCTTTTCTGGTGGTTGGTCGTTGTACTGGCTGGGGTCACTGATACTGTTTTCCCTCGGTTCTTGGACCGTGAGTGAGCTGGCTAGATTGGAGGGAGGAGAAGCCTTGAGGATGGCCCCTTGGGTGGGCGTGGAGACCACAGTGAGCGCTCACTGGTTCAGGGTCCCACTGTAGGTACGGTGCCCTGCTCATCCCAGAGGGACTGATTGGAGCCAGGAGTGCGTCAACCATGGGTGTCCAGTGAGGGACCAGAGTGACCCCAGCCTCAGGCCTGGAGGGTAGAGACGACCGCACACACCACATGTCACGGCATACCAGCTGTGGTGTGAGTGCACATGTGCCCCCAGCGAGTCTCCTTGTCACCTGCTCTGTCGTGTGTCCAGATTGCTCTCACACACCTTTTACTGAGGAGGAAACTGAAGCATAGAGAGAGGTTAGGGAATGTGCCTGAGTTTCCCCCACTCCACCATGAAGAGGCATGTTCAGGGTTCCCACAGAGCTTGTCAGCAACAGAATTCGTGGCCTTCGCCACTGCATTAGAGGGCTGGGTGTCTGTAGCCTGGTATCTGCCACTGGGCAGTGCCAGTCAGGTTGAGCTCTTTTCCGCTGCCATTCCCTCTTCAAGACCCTTGTCATGAAGACAGTCCCATCCCTTTAAGCATCTGGTAGATAGAAAGGTCTTCTTGTCCAGGGCAGTCCCCCTTGTCATGCTACCAAGCCTAAATCCAGAGCTGGGCATCCCAAGACTCAGGTGCCCCTGGTCTCTGCTGGCCTCTGCTGGCCTCTGGCCTTAGCCTGGAGGTCTTATCTACAGCCCCTCTGAGCTCTTGCCAGGAGCCGGATCCAGGCCAGAGGTGAGGAAGGTTTGTAGGCTCACAGTGGCCCACCGTTCCTGGCACTTTGCCCATGTCCTAAGGCCCCTGAGCAGTTCGAGGGACAAGCCCAGAACAGAATTTTTCCACGGAAAAAGTCAACCACAGAGGCACACAGCCCTGCCAGCCAGGCTCCTCTGCTCACGGGCCTCCCTGGTCTGGTCACTTGGACACCTGAGCAGGCAGCTGCTGGCTGGGAAGAGGGTTTTCCCAATGTGGGATGAGAGCCGGGGGCCCACCTGCAGGGTGGCCTGCTGAGGGTGCCAGGCATGCTCTCATCCCACTGCCAACAGCCTCGGCAAGGCCCCACATGCCATTAGCCTTCTGCTGGCACCAGCTGCTTAGGTTTTAGAGTTTTAACCATGTTTCCCACTCGGCCTGCAGCCCACTCCCCTGTCCCAAAGGCTTGGATCGGCCAGGGTCTAGCCTGCTCTAGGAGCTTGGAATCTGATCAGTCGGTGCCAGGGGTTATGGTATGGAGAACTGCAACCAAGTTTCTCCACCATAAGCCAAATGAATGAATGAATGAATGAATGGCTTTTCAGCAAGGAGGTGGCTCAGATTGGGTTTTGAGAACAAAACTCAAAAGGCCTAGCCTGATAGGGTGGCACTCTCCCACAACCCCCAACTAAAGGGGCTGAGGCAGAATTATAGAGTGAGGACAGGGTCAGCCTGGGTTACAGGCCCCCACAAAAAAGGATGGAAGTTAAGTGGATACTGGTGCTTCTTCCAAACCTGACAACGTGATCCTCAGGACCCAATACGGTGAAAGGAGAGAAGGAACTCTCACAAGTTGACCTCGGATTTCCACACACATGTTCTGTGGCACATCCACACACATATAAGCACTAAATAAATAAATAAAACCCTTGATTTAAAAAAAAAAAAAAAAAAAGGTGCCGGGCGGTGATGGCATGGCACACGCCATCAATCCCAGCACTCAGGAGGCAGAGTCAGGCAGATCTCTGTGAGTTCGAGGCCAGCCTGGTCTACTGAGCGAGTTCCAGGACAGGCTCCAAAGCTACACAGAGAAATCCTGTCTCAAAGAGAAAAAAAAAAAAGGAAGAAGGCCTGATCTTTCACACCTACTCCCAGGTCTCCCTCCCAGGGCTTACAGCTTTGCACAGGTTTCCCAACGCCTAGTTCAGCCTCCACCCCGAGCTCTGGCAGTGGAGTGCAGGCTCTGAGTGGGACTGGAGGCCTCCCAAGCTCCCCAACCCCTCTGAGCACTCCCCCGCCCCCGCCCTTGCAAAGCAGAGTCTTTGTGGGGTTGGTACATCAGGAGAGACCCCACAGAGCCTGGCATCAGAGGGGAGTGCTGAGTACTG